ACAGAGCAGAGCGGGGCTCTGGTGAGCGGTATCTCTGTCATGTCGTCAACCGTGGTGCAGGGCAAGGTTGGGCGTCACCTCCCTGCGGCACCAGCCGCATGTGAGCGGCAGGTGTTTCTTCATGCACGCGTGCATCCAGGCCTCGCCGCACTCGCGGCACATGTTGGCGCAACTGCAGGAGAACACCTGCTGTGGGGTGCGCTCGAGGCACGCGAAGCACTTTGGCTTGCGGACCCGGCTGCCATCGGCGCGCGCCTTGGTGTCGCCGTCGGCTCCTCCTCGCCGCGCCGCCGCCGCCGCCGTCTTGTGAGCCGGCTTGCTGGCTGGCGGGGCCGCACGGGGGGCTGCCGCTAGCTTCGTTGGCGGCGCGGGGTAGACCACGTATGCTGCCATTGGCAGCGCTGTGCGCGAGGCGTCGGTGTCGCCAACGAACTCCACGGGATGCCGGGGCGGTGCGGGAGCCGCGACGGTGGTGCGGCCTGGTGGGAGTGGAATGTCCAAGCAGGTGACATGGAGGGTCGAGATCTTGGAGGTGCGTTTGTAGGGAGCAGCAGCACCTGGGATCTAGGACGTCAGCTTTGGTGGAACTCCTGCATGCGCCGCTGCAGTGGCCCCTCGTTGCAAATAAATTGCTCACCGTTTGGACCTGGAACAAGCCACCCGTTGCCTCGCGCCTGCCTGCGCCTGCGGCGTCCTCACAGGGAGTGGCGCGCGGAGGGGCGCGGCCACCTCGCGCCTGGCGCCCGTGCCGCGTGCGGCCTCGCCCATGGGAGCAGGGCCGTGGCAGCGCGTTTGCGCGGCGCGCTGCTGCCGCGAGTAGGCGTTGGGCGGCGCCGCCGTCGCCACCGCCGCCGCCGCCGCCTGCGCGGCGGTGGGGCGCGGCAGGTGGGGCGCAGCATCTGGTGTGGCGCGCGCCGCGATTGCACCTGCGCTGCGTGCTGGCGGCGCTCCCTTCTCCCTCAGCCGCGCCGCCTTGTTTCCTGGCTGCCCATGGATCAGGGGGGCATGCTTCGCGCCCCCAGCAAGCGCACCGCCTGCACGCCCTTGCGGCAGCAGAGCAGCACCAGCGGCAGTCTTGCCGGGCGCAGCGCAGGGGTCGTCCTGGGGTAGGTGCTCCAGCACGCTGAAGGTATTGAATGTGTTACACGACATCCTCTGCATCGTTGCACAGGTACGTTTGCGCAGGTCTCTCCGTGGTGCAGTCTACCCGTCCGCAAGGTATGAGCGGGCTGCTGGGTCAAGGTGTGTGTATGTATTTTGAAAGCCTGTGTTTTGATTCAAATGTATTAATTTCGGGGGTCTCGGCCTGCGCACGTCCGCTTGCCTTTCGGGCAGCGAGTCAAGGGGGATTTTCAGGGATCATCGACCTTACGTGCTTCCCGACCACTTTGCACGTTGTTCAACATGCACTTACAGCTCTCTTGCACTCTTTGATCGCGCACATTCGTCCACGTTTCCTCGACGATGACAGAGGCTGAGGCCGACGCCCCCACGGGGCCTAATGAGCAGCCCAAGGTGCTAGCATACCGCGGTATACTAGCTCATCCCAACCTGTGAGCGGCTGTCAGGCTGCGCCCGTGCGCGCTTGGGTGCCGCGCACCTTCCAGCGGGCGGATGTGTTCTGCATGCGGCGCTCTGCTGACGCGGCGCACCCCTCGCGCCTTGTTGCATGTCACCTGATGGCGCCCCTGGCTTGCCGCCGCCGCCCCCTCTGCTGCAGGAGCGAAGAGTTCGAGCTGAAGGCGCTGCTTCACGTCAAGCGGGCCACAGACGGCGAGCGCGCGAAGCAGAAGGTGAGACCGCGCGGCACAAGCTATGCAGCGTCCATCGCCGCGTGGCGCTGCTCCCGCCGGGTGATTGACAGCAAGCAGGCGTGGGTTGGTGCGGGCCAAGAGGCAGCAGCGTGTGCCCTGTCTCGGCCGTGCGGCCTCCCGCCCCGGCCTGCCCACGTATCCCCTGACTGCTCACCGGCCCCTTTTCCCGCCGCCCAGGTGGAGCTGATCAGCATGTCCACCGACGGGTGGGAGACATGTGCGCCGCTGGTGCGCAAGATCATCCGGTGCGAGGACCTGCGGTTGGAGCCCGGGTGGAGCCAACAGGTGCGGCCCGGGCGCCGGGTGAATGTCTGGCAGCGGCGACAGCAGCCACGGGCGCAGGCAGGCAAGGGCCCATGCGCCAACCGCGCATCAGGGTGGGGCCAGCCCCGTTTTGGGCGCTGCAAGTAGTGACACGTCGAGGGGAGCTGCGCCATCGTGCACGTATGGCTCTGCCTCGCGGTCGCGCCAGGGCTGCCGACGTGGCCGTTTCCCCAGCGCGCATTGCACCCATCGCAGCACTGCCGCTTTCACATTGCGTCGCCGCCGACAGCGCATCACACCCACACCTCGCTGACCCCGCTTCCCTGCCCCTCCACTTCCCTCCCCAAACCACGCGCGTCGTCCCAGGTGCAGCGGGAGGTGGATGTCTTCACGTACCTGCTGACCCCCAGGCAGTGCCGCGGCATGCAGCTGCAGATGCTGCTGGGCTGCGAGGTGAACGATGATGTCATCACGCTGACCTACCCCTTCGCGGGCCCCAGCCTCACCCAGTGGTACCCCGCCAGCCGCCGCGCCCTGGGCCCCGGCGGGCTGGCCGCCATGGACCCGGCTGCGTCGTGGGCCGGGCTGGGGATGGCCGGCCGCATGGCGGCGGTCCCGGGGGACGCCCTGCAGCTGGTCAAGGCGCTGCACCGGTGCCACACCATGGTGGGTGGCGACGCTCGCGTGGCGTTGCTCAGTCGCGTGCGTGTGAGTGAATGCGTTGGTGATGGCTGCTAAACCAAAAGTGGCCGGCTGCGTGGTGTTGTTGCCGGTCCGCAGTCTGCCGCGCCCCAACCTATTGCTGCCCCCCTCGTGGGGCGTACAGTACTCTTTATTTTTTTCTGCTCGCCCTCGGGCCCTTGCTGCCCTCACAACTCCTCACACTCTGAGGCCTGCTCTCAATACCCGTCACCCTTGTCTCCCCTTGTAACCCCTCGTCACTCGTCACCCCTCTTCACCTGTCACCCCTCCTCACCCATCACCCTCTCCTCCATCATCCCCCCTCCCCCAAACTCCTCAGGGTGTCGTGCACCGCGACATCAAGCCTGACAACGTTTGCAGGCACGCGGGGTCAGGCCAAGTGACCCTGATCGACGCCGGCCTGCTGCAGTGCACCCGCCAGGTGCGCCCCGTCGAGCCCCGCCACCAAGGCACCGTGGACCGCCTCATTGCGCACCCCTTGGAGGGGGGCACCTACGAGTACCTGCCGCCAGAGGTGCTCGCGTACCTCGGGGGCGCCCCGCACCTGCCCGCCTGCTGCGGGGACGCGGCGCACGACATCGCGCACTACCCCTCGGCCCCCAGCACCGACTGCTGGGCCGNTGGGCGTCATGATCTACGAAATGTTCACAGGCGTGCCGCCATACGCGCCAGACTGCGACGCGGCGCCATCGGACGCCGCTGCCGCCGCCGCTGGTGATGCGGCGACGACGGCGGCGGCGGCAACGGCGGCGGGTGCAGTGGGGGGCGTGGGGCCCGCGGCCCTGACAGATGCCGCGCCCATGCGCGCATCCGCCGCCACGCCTGCGACCGGCCCGGCGGCCGCCGCCGTGGGTGGCGCGTCAGATGACGACGAAGCTCGTTTGGAGGTTACGCAGCTTTGCGGGGCGGGCGGGGCCGTCAGCAGCGTCCAGCAGTCAGCGCCCTCGTCCCAGCAGACGGCGGCCTCTGCCTCCTTGGCCCGTCCCTGCTCCTCGTCGCAGCTCGCCGCCAGCGTCGCCGCGCCCCAGCAAAGCTGCAGCTCGGGCGACGCCTGCGCAGCCGACGAANCCTGCGGCGGCGCCCTCTGGCGGCGCCCGCCACTGGTATCTGCAGCTGTTTGGGAGCTCCAGCAGCGGCGGCGGCGACAGCAGCGACAGCGGCTCCACCGCTTCATCTGGCAGCGCAGGCTGGGGCTCTGACCCGCGGCTCAAGCAGGCTTACGCCGCCATCACCGCCGCGCCCGAGCTCTACCTGCACCCCGCCATCCCGGCCGGGGCACAGGAGGTGATCCGGGGGCTGCTGCACCTCAACCCAGACGAGCGCTGGACGATGAGGCAATGCTTAAGCAGCCCCTGGATGCGCAGCGTCGCGCGGCGGCTGCATGACGCGCAGTTTGATGCGGCTCAGCACGCGGCCGACGAGGCCTGGGTGGCCGAGTGGGACGCGGCGGCGGAAGCCTTGAGGGCAGCGACCACCGTGCAGCAGGAGGATGGGGAAGAGTGTGAGGACGACGTGGCGGGGGCCGCAGAGCGCGACAGCTTT